ATTGTATATATATATATATATACTTTGTATTGGTAATTTTTTTTTTTTTTTAGAATGTGTTATTAAAAAAGAGGAAAAAGTTTTGAGTTTACATGAAAAATAATTTTTGAAAGAATGTGTCGACAAAATTGAATTTGGGGATAAATAAGTTTTCCAATAATGGAGCACAAACATGGACTTTACTGAAAAATGTACAATTGAAAATGAGTTTGGAGATAAATGAATTTTTAGAGAATGGAATTCAAATAGGGCTTAAGGTTGATGGAGCCTATTGACCTGACTTTTTGCATCAGTCCCAACTCCGCTTATGTTCACATAAATTTGTTCTTGCATAATTGAACAAATCGTTAATCACTCATGACCTTCTCCGATGGAAGTGCAGGTGATCACGAACACTCCAACCATCAAGTCGGTCAACAATAATGGAATATAAGGTGTGGGACGTTTAGGGACGTGAACCATGCAACATTTATGTATGTTGGGAAGAGAAAGAGAGAGAGAGCGAGCGAGGGAGGTTGCATTACCTTTCAAATGGCAAACTGTATCGATTTATATAGTGGTAGTGGTGAGATTTTGATCGTTGGATAAAGAGATTCGTGGATGCATCTGGTGATCGGAGTGTCCCATGTCTCCTCATAGGTATCAATCCGTCAATCATAGGTTGATGGGCGTTTAATGCAACGATTAATGTTTTCTAAAATGTGGACTTGAGATTTGACCTTTAGGCGGCTGTTGCAGATACGTCATATCAATCAATAATAAAATGTGTGAGATCTTCTTGAAAGCTGTTAAATGGAAAGTGATTCTCATTAGTTGAGAGGCTAATTGCTTCGGGACGTCTTCGTACAACATAGGTGACATCTCATCTCCAACCTAAGACGTCGGCTTCTAGAGCATATCGGATGAAGTGATCCGTCAACTCGGCTTGATCCCACCTCGGTGGGGTGGATTGTTACTTGGAGTGTGGGTCTAATTTGACTTGCTACTTGGCTGTCATGTGTAGCTGCTTTGGAAGAGGAGTAACAACGCTATTATGCATCTTGGATTGCTTAAAGTAATGTACCACATTAGTAAAATAGATCGGTGTATGAAAAAAAAATCTCCATGATGCAAGTTGATGTGATAGGGAAAAAAATGGGCATTATTTAGAGTTGTGTTTAATTTCAGAAGAATTGTTATACATGTTGACTCGACATTACATTTCATTTGTCCCATAAAGATAGACTTTGCTTCTATTTTCACACAGATTAAAGAAATATAATTAATATAGTTGGAATAATAAATTTTTCATAATATTTCCTTACATTAATAATTGTTTAAACACCAAGAGTTCATATTTATTGATAATAAGGCTCGTTAAATAGGGATATATTGAAAAACTAAAAAGTAATTATACTATTAACAATAAAAGTGGCCTATAATTTGAAACATACGAAAAAAGAAAAAGAAACATATATTTATGAGACAGAGAGAGTATTTTATTTGCAAAAAAATCATGTGCAATTTTAAATATGATTTTGCTTTTATTTTAAAATAATAAATGACACCTAGATAGAAATTCATAAAATACGTTGGAACTCATAATAAATGACACCTAGATAGAAATTCATAAAATACGTTGGAACTCGAGTATCTATTTATTGGATATCAATGCAACAAAATCTTTCAACTTTCATGCTACCTATTGCAATTCATATAATGCATTGGAGATGTCATAACGTGGTATCAGAATCTATATGAATTTTGTAGACATTGTCTACATGCTGTGTATTTTGAAAGACTTGCAGTATACATGACATCGATGCCTAACGAATAGAAAGTCAAGCCTACACATCTTCTTTTTTCTCGAAAATAAAAATAAAGATGATGAAGAGAAAGAGAGCAATCCAACGTTTTAGTCGTAAAAATAGAATCTATTAAATTGCTAAGGCAACATGTCGCAGTTTGTTTTACTTAGACTTTGATTAGGAATGTGTTTCATGTCAAATTCAACTAGTCCAAATACCAATTTTAAACCAAGATAAAAATTCAAAAATTCAAAATATGTATTTATTTATTTATTTATACATGAGGCTAAAAATCTAAATTTAGGTCTCGTACTCTGGCGAGTTTCGATGTTGGATAAGGACCAAAGGGGCTAAAATCAATGTTTTCCTTCTTTCTTTCTTTTTGTTTTTTTGGTTAAAAGTACGTGGAAATTAAGCACAAACCTATTGTTGTTAAACATTCATCATTTCTCAAGTTTCGGTGGAAAGATTTATATACCAACGCAGTCCACTCCATTTGTTAGAACAACTTTCATTAAGTTTCCACACCTATCATTTTTTTTCTTTCAGAACCTTTGTTTTGGAAAAAGGGGATTTGGCTCAAGATTGCCCCTTTTATTATTTTTGGGGTTTCTCTGAATTTGAAAGTTACTACTTAGTAGGTTTTCATACCAAGACTCAATCTAATTAAGTCTGTGGCATCTACTAATTCCGTCATATCCCCTTCCCTTTGTTTTAAGATTAGGATTTCATTGTCATATCATTCCCTTTTTTTTTTCATTTATACCGGAACTCTTGAATTCATTAGATATTGATTACTAACTCAATGATAAAAAAAAAAAAAAA